CAGGAGGCAGCTGATTGATGACTCTTTCATCAATGTTTCTAACTATCTCTTTCCCTTCCTCTCTGTAAAAAAATCAATAAAATATATATTTTTTAAAGGCTCTTGGTTTATTGCTTCTCACACACCCGCCATTCTCTCCTTCTTTCTGAAGATTCCGTACTCTGTCCCATGCTTTCCTGTCTCTGGATCCTCCCCATTCATCAGTTTATTTTGTTTAGATTCCACATATGATTGAGATCACTCTCTTTCTCTGACTGACTTATTTCACTTAGCATGGTACTCTCCAGGTCCTTCCATGCTATCTCAAGGATAAGATAATTCTTTTTTACTGCTGCATAGTATTCCATGTATAAATATACCCACTCATCTACTGATGGGCACCTGCGCTGTTTCTAGATCTTAGCTATTGTACATTGTGCTTCTATGAACATAGATGAGCATACATTCTTCCTGATGAATATCATTCTACTTTTTATCCCCTCCCAGAGGTTTCCCCGATTTGCTTTCTCCCACCTCCCTAATCTATCACCAGTGGATTTCATGTAACCCACTTACGTCTCCTCCTTTGACTGTAATGTGTAAAACAAGGTGAAAATCTGCCATTCTGCAGAGCATTATCCCAATCCATTGAGATTCTGCTTCCCAGCAGATGTCGACAGTTTGTTTGGCTCAAATAGACTCACAAAAAATCTTTACAGGTTTGAATGTTTCTTATGTTAATACCTGACAAGATCGCATATTTGCTTTGGGATGAACACTTTAATTTGTAATCAGTGTGCCTAGTTGCATTGTCACATGACTGTCAGACACTTCCTTCACATCAGTTTTAGGGAAGTTGGCTATGTCAAAGAGGCTTAACAGCATTGTGCTTTTAGCCAGATAGTGTTAGGGTCATTTGCTAAAGGACTCTGTAACTCTCCCAAACTAAAAAATCTGCACCATGTGGAAATGCCTGTGTTAATAACAATTACTTGAACTGTATGCTGAGCTCTGTCTAAATCTTTGTCAAAGCACTGTGCTGGTGGCAGACACTGGGACTTTAAATAATGTCAACAAACCTTCTGCTTATTAATAATATATACAGACAAAGAATATTAACATTTTGGCCCTGGCCAGGTGCTCAGTTAGAGTATTATCCCAATACACCAAGGTTATTGGTTTGATCCCCAGTCAGGGCACATACAAGAATCAACCATTGAATGCAAATAAGTGAAACAACAAATCAATGGTTCCCACTCTCTCTCTCTCTCTCTGTCTCACTTTCTCTCTTTCTCAAAAATCAATAAATAAGAACTATGAGAAAAATAAGTGAGAGAGATAATTCACACAACAATAGATTTCACAGGAAACTATTTTTGCAAAAATACTGTAACCGAATGACAACATGCATATATGAGTATATATCTGTATGGAAAAGTGATTGGGAAAAGTGTGTGTGGATGCCCATCAGACTGTTAGTGTCCTCTTTGGTAGGTTAGCTGAGACAAAGAAGTCTGTCAGCTTAACACTACTTATGTATTCTTTGAGTATTTTAAAAAAATATTTTTATCTGCTTTTTACAGAGAGGAAGTGAGAGGGATAGAGAGTTAGAAACAACGATGAGAGAGAAACACCCATCAGCTGCTTTTTTGCACACTCTCTACTAGGTATGTGCCTGCAACCAAGGTACATGCCCTTGACTGGCATCAAACCTGAGACCCTTGAGTCTGCAGGCCTATGCTCCATCCACTAAGCCAAACCAGCTAGTTTGAGTATTTTACAATAAGAATATACCATTATACTGCTTATACACTATATGTAAAATGTTTAACTAATGAAAAATACAAAAACAAAAAAAACAAAAAAACAAGCCCCAAAACTGTGTTCTTACAAAATTCTTTTACATTCATGTAATGTATATTTTGCAATCTAATTACAAACATCCTTTTCTTTATCCCAGACAGAAGGAAAAGAAAGCACCTTAAATTGACTAAAGCTACATTTCACCAAGCCTCTAGAAAGATACACCTAAATCAATTGCAGGTACATCTTGGAGATATTGTGGGTTTAGTTCCAGACCACCCACAATAAAGCAAGTGAGAATCTTTTTGCTAGTGTAGGGCCCTGCCTTCAATTTGTAAAAAACAAACTCAACACTGTGAAGCACCATAAAGCGAAGTGCAATAAAACAAGGAACCACTTGGAATTTCTGCTTCTGGAATTCCAAATCAAGAAAAAGTAATAGATAAAACATAGTAAGACCCTACTTTCACAGTCCAAATAGAGAACAGGGTACCTCTTTTCACAGACTATAAGTATCTTCGGCAGAGCTCTGGGGATGGGGGGAGAAAGTAGAGACACTCCAAGGCACTTCCATAAACAAACCACATATTCAATCCTAGTACGCTTTTTAATTAAGTTACCACTTGTCCTCTCCATTACACTTGTAGTAGCTTTTCGTTCCCCTTTTTGCCATCTATCCCATTCCAAATAACTGATGGAAAGTGAATCCTACTCTGAAAACCAAGGTTCTAGTCTTAGGTCACTGCCACACTCACTGCTGGACTTGCTCTTTAAGTTAACCTGGCCCAGTCTTGGTTTCTTTCTATGAAGTGGAGGGCAGACAGGAAATCACTGCTACAATGCTTAAACTTTATCATTCTATTATAAGAGAAAATGGAGATCATCGAACATAGAAGCATGTTTTAAAAAGTGAAAGTCTATCTATCTCTTTTTATAATAAAAAAATATATTTTTATTGATTTCAGAGAGGAAGAGAGGAGAGAGAAATAGAAACACCAATGATGAGAGGAAATCATTGACTGGCCGCCTCCCAGATGGCCTCCACTGGGGATAGAGCCCACAACCCGGGCATGTGCCCTTGGCAGGAATCAAATCCAGAACCCTTCAGTCCGCAGGCCAACACTATCTTCACAGAGTCAAACCAGCTAGGGCAAGCCTATCTCTCTTTTTAAAAAATATGTTTATTGATTTCAGAGAGGAATGGAGAGAGAAAGATAGAAACATCAATGATGAGAGAGAATCATTGATCAGCTGCCTCCTGCACATCCCACATTGGGATCAAGCTTGCAACCCAGGCATGTGCTTCAATAGGAAATTGAACCATGACTTCCTGGTTCACTGGTTGATGCTTAACCACTGAGCAACACAGGCCAGGCTGAGTCTATCTCTTAACCATTTGCCCCTGTGGGGTAACCATATTAATTTGGGTATATTCTTCCAGATTTTTTTAAAGGTAAAAAAAAAATCACCAATTATATATACTGTTTTAGAATGGTTTTTTTATTTTTTATTTTATTTAGCAATATAGCATTTCCCTCTGACAGCTAATATAAATTTTGTCAGATTAAGGGTTTCATCACTGTTGTATTCCTAGGGACTAAAACAGTGCCTGACAAAGTAGATGCTATAAATGTTAACAGTGAATGGATAGAATGAATTCTCCTGCCTGGCAGACTAGAAATTCCATGGGGTCAGGGATGTGTCTATGTAGTCTCTCTTACTGGTCTCAGCATCAGATTACCTGGCACACAGTAAGCACTAACTAATATTTATTAAACTAGCAAAACAGCTCAACGATGAAACTATCTAATTCTTCTTACCTGCACCACTGTGCTATGGACCACAATAATCAACTATTCTCCTATCAATGAAAAAAGGTTTTGCAAGCATCATTGCAATGATCATCCGGGAATACATACCCTTTTTAAAGATTTCTGTAGGGTAAGAATCTCCTTTGGAGGGGAACCACTGATCTGGTCTAAGTGTCTTCTGAAGTCACTTCCCTCCAGGTGACTAACATAATGCCACACAGCACAGCAGCAATTTAGTCATCACCTAGGGAGGGGCAGTTTTCAAACAGTGACAGGTGCATATTGTCACTGTCTGAAAACAGCCACTTTTGTCTACACAAGAGCACACATGGAGCTTAGAGTCTGTGAATTCTTCAAGAAGTGAGGTGGCAGAGCACTGTCTGAGAACCCCAATGGAAGGGCTTTCCAGAAAGCTACTTTTCTGCATATTTAATGTTTTCACTTGAAAGATATTTAATAACTTTCTATTATGTGTGAGAGCAGAGGCAACAAATAAGGAAGGCAGAACTAGTCTCTACAATTTGGGAATGGGAGCTTAGGGACCACTGTCTTTCCTCCAAGTGATCTGAGGCTGGCTAGGACAGATTGCTGCAGCCCTTGGTCTTCCTTCCACCAGGAAATGGAATAGGCATCCCAGTCACTGCTCCTTCTTCTGTGAAAAACATGGCCCAGGTTCTCTCCATGAATGGAGAAGTAAGTCAGAGACGTTTCCCTCTGAGTTCACCCCAAGCAGAACTTGACAACATACTTGAGTGTACTTCCTTTTTTCCCCAGGAGCTACTGCCTGCCACACCATAGCTTGCTGGGCTTGCTTCTTGGCTGGAGAAGGAGACTGTTAGTTGGTATTTGTAGGAGAGTCTTCATTCAAAGTAGCTTAAATGTGGAGACTCAAAGAAAACCTTCAAGGCCATCTAGTCTACTCCAGTAGATTCTTCACCTTTTATGAGCCACCCTTCTCTTTGAAATCGGTGGCCCCTTTAGAGCTTCTGCACCAAAAAAGGCATGCATAAATCTCAGCACGTAATTTCCCCCAGTTTCTGGAGCTTCTTGGACACATGGGACTGAAAGTCCTGGAATTCCTACTTAATTCCACATTAAGAATTCCTACTTCACAGAGAAGCTCATTTGAGTTCTAATGCCCCGATTAGCAGTGTCTGAGTAGACTAACCAGTTGGCTGGAATGCGGAGGTAAGGGAGTAACAAGTCTGAGCACTGGGGAGATCATGTGCTATGATTCAATCCTTTTGTGAGCTTATCTTCAGAAAACTAGATAAAGAATGCTGGGTAGCCGCAGGCAGAACCTTAAAGTCAGTCAGCTGATAGCTTTTAAAGAAGACAATACATGCTCACAAATGAAGCTGGGTCTGATGGCATAGAAGGGTGATGACTCAGAGGTCGTCAGGATTGCTACCCACTAATGACATAGCAGTAATCAGTAGATGGGTCCTCCATTTCATATGGGTTCTCCTCAATTGTATAGACGTTTTCCCTTGAGCGCATCCCCTCTGCTATTGTATTTTCTAACCCTGAGGGAGGAGGGCGGTTGGCCAAAGTGATGAGGCTGTGGAAATAAAATGTCGCAGTTCAAGTAAGCATTTCCCAGGAGACATAAAAAGAGGGAGAGAGAGAAAAGGAAAGAGGGAGAGAGGGTGGGAGGGAGGGAGGGAGGGAGGGAGAGAGAGAGAGAGAGAGAGAGAGAGAGAGAGAGAGAGAGAGAATAGGCTTTGCTGAAGAGATGCCGACCAAATGCAGTACATGATGCTTGATTGGGTCCTGACTGGGGGAGAAACCATAAAATGGAATAATTTGAAGAACATTAAGACAATTTCAATTACTCTTAATTTCTTAGGTATAAAAATGGCATTGTTGGAACAAAAAAATAATGGCATTGTGTGATCTAAAAGAATATCCTTATTCAGAGGAGATACATACTAAAGTTTAGTGAAGTGTCAAGATGTTTGAAATGTCCTGAAAACGGTTCAGAAAAAAAACACACGTGTGTATAAAAAATAGATAAAGCAAAAATATTAAAATGTTAAATTGCACATCTTGGTGAAGGATTCTAGTATTCCTTGTTCAATTGTTCTATGAGCTGGAACAATTTCAAAAAACAAAAAAGAAATAAATATGTTATGTATCCAATCAGATTTGAGTGTGAATTCTATTCCTGTCACTAAACCAGACATGTAATCTTGAATTTTGTTATTTCATTTGCTTGGGAACTATTTAGTGTGTCACACACTGTTTCATACATCAAGAGGCATGGCAGTGAATAAAACACACATTCATGAAGTTAGAAAACTTTGTTTCAGCATCCTCATCTGTAAAATGGGAATAATTAGCACTCTATCTGACCAGGCTGCTATAAGGCGCACTTATTTATTCATAATAAAATATTGAATACTTAGTGCCTACTAAGTATCAAGTGCTGTGCTAGGGGATGCAGTTGTTAATGTGTCAGACAAGTTCCTTATTTTCTATAGAATTTACCTTTATAGGTAGAGATGACCTTTAACCAAGTGGTGTGAGAAATTTACATGAATTAATGAATGTAAATGTCACTATGAATGTTTTCAGGTTTCAGCTCTATTAAAGAATAGTGACACAGATAATCTAAAACCATTGATACATATTTTACTTGACCTTTTCTTTTGGCTTCTATTTACTGTAGACTACTTTGTTTTCATGAATATATTATCTCTACTTAGTCTAAAATTATTATTGGTTTATATAGTATTCAATGGACAGTCTTTTTTTTTTTTTGATACATACTGCATTCTACCAATGTACCAAATGTTGCTAAAATGAAGTAAAAGTTATGTACACTAAGTGTATTTGGAATTGGGGTGTATGCATATGTATGTACAGACCTATGTGCAAGATAGTCAGAAATGGACACTAACTGCAATATAAAGACCAATACTTCTCAAGCCTATTTGCACATTAGAATCACTTGGGAAGCTTTACAAAAATATCTATGCTTAGGCTTTATCTGTAAAAAACCTGGTTGATTTGCTCTTGGGATGACAACAGATTGTGTACGTGATTCTAATGGGTTATCAAAGTTAAGAACACCCGTACTGGGCTATAAAAGCCCTGAGAGTAGATTCTTGGGTACTTGTTTACTTGTGGAGCACACCAAGAGCCTGGATGCAGTAAATACTCCATCAATTGAAGGGTCAGCCAACTAAAAAGACTGGTTAAAATAGAAAGAAATATGCACTTCTTATCATAGGGAGATGAATGCTATACCTTAGTTTTAGGAATAAGGAAGCTAGAGAGATCAGGAAGTAAACAGAGGAGCAGGTTTACATTTCATAAATCCTAAAGCAAAAAGGAAATATAAGATTAAATCCTAAAGTCCAAGGGCAGGACTTCTAGAAGCAAAAATCAAAGGCATATTGGTATAGAAAACCAAGATTCCCACCCTCTTTTACCTCATCCCTTATTCTTACCTGGAATTCTGTAACTTCTCTTTCCTATGAGAATACCCTGGGTAAAAAGGTGAAGAAAAGTCAATTAAAATTTCTTTCATAAATTAAAGAAAAAATGGCTCATAGGAGGCAAGGATTATTTAAGGAAATCTTGTCTCCCTTAAATTGAATTAAATAACTACTCATGTGAGTCTTAGTTTATTACATGAACTATGCTTGAAAGTAATAAAGATGCATTTTTCATATTATTTTAATTTTTTTAATTGATTTCAGAGAGGAAGGGAGAGAGAAACATCAATGATGAGAGAGAATCATTGATGGGCTGCCTCCTGCACTCCCCCTTCTGAGAATCAAGCCTGCAACCCAGATATGTGCCATGACTGGGAATCAAACTGGTTCTCCTGGTTTATAGGTTGACACTCAACCACTGAGCCCTCTGGTTGGGCCATTTTTCATATTTGACAAATATATGGAACACCTACTTTGTGTCTGGTAGTATTCTAAACATCAAGGACACAAAGGTAAATTATGAGCCCTGAGTTTGTGAAACTTGTGTTCTAGTGAGGGTGGATTTCAACACCATAATAATAACAACAATAATAATTTCTTGTTGTGCTGTGATATAAAGGAAACAAACAATGCACTGAAACTTAGAAAAGAGAAGGTCAGGAAAGCACTCTCAGAAAAGGTGACCTTGAAGGTCTGCTCTGAAAGAGAAGAATGAATTAGTCAAGTAAAGAGCCAGAAGAAGCATTCCAAGCAGAGAAAACTCCTGGTAAAGATCACAGTGAGTGCCTGAAACTGAAAATATGGCTGGAATAAGAGAGTGGCGCAAGATAAGGTCTGAGTGTTAGGCTACAGCCAGATCTATAGGACCTTTCAAGTCATAACCAAAGTTTCAATTTTATTCTAGGACCTATAAGAAATAATAAAAACATGTTTCTCTACACCTACTATTAAAAAAAAAAATCCTCACCTGAGGATATTTTTTCCATTACTTTCTTTTGAAAGAGTGAGAGGGAGGGGCAGAGGGAGGGGGGAGAGAGAAACATCAGTGTGAGAGAGACACACTGATTGGTTGCCTCCCACAAGCACCCCGATCAGGACCAGGATGGTACCTGCAACCCAAGCATGAGCTCTTTATTGGGAATCACAACTAGGACATTTCCTTCAGTGTACGGGCCAACTCTGTAACCAGTAAGCAATACTGGCCAGAGCCAGTCTAATCATCTTTAGGTATAAATATAAACTTATATTTCTATCTAGGTTTATGTTGGTTCCTACATCAGTAGTTCCTAACAAAGGGAAAATCATACAAGATCAAGTGACTTACATTTGAGAATTAAAGCACCAAAGATAAGAACCAGAGCCAGCCCAGCAGTGATTCCTGCTGCAATATAGACACTTATTCTGGTGGTCTTGTAACCAGAGTCTTGTAACTCATCCGCCAGTGTGGATATTTGCTGTGGAAACACAAACAGAATTGTAGCATATGACCAGAAATAGGTAGTATGCTTCAGCCATTTTCATGACTTGTGAATTGGACCATCCTTTTTGCAGCAACACAAGAATACAGGGACCTAGAAACCACTCTTAATCTGTTCCCTTTTCGACAAGCCTCAAATCATCCAAAGAAATGAAGTACTTAATCTTTGGAGTCCACAAGGAAATAAAATGTACCCTTCTGTACTGTGTAAAAAAGGAGCTCTTAGTAAGTGGACTCCCTCTCCCACAAAAATGGGCTTTGGAGTAGAATCCTCTTTATTCACCTCCCTTTGTGTTCCCATAAAGTTTCTGGATGGTCTAAATTTGGTGTCTTGCAAAAACTATTTTGGCAGAACCATTATGACTTAAAAGCCAGACAGACAGTCATGAGTTCAACTTCAAGCTCGGTCTCTCAAGAGCTGAGTCATCTTATAGAGTTATTGGGAAATGTAAGTGACAAAAAATACAAAATGCATGGCATAGGGTCTGATACATGATAAATATTTAATAAATAATAGCTATTGCTATTGCTGTAATTAATTTGACTTTTTGATAACTGAGAGTCACACAGAAAATCCTCTCCTTGTAAAATGTCAGTCCATGGTCCCCCATTAAAACCAACAACAAGAAACACTTTTAAAACAAAAAAGTCAAGGAAATTAAATCTTCCATTTATTCAACAAACACTTAACTACAGGAGGGCTATTTGCAAGGTATTGTGCATCAAGCATTGTGGGTGCACACTTAAAAGGCAGTCCTTGATCGCAAAGAGGGGAGAAACACAAAATGTTGAGCCTCAGTTGTGAACACACAAGTATGAGATTGAGTTAAATGAATGAGGACCCTAGATAAGTCCTCAAAGAATTTTTAGGTCAATGCTAGAAATTTTTCTCCTTTACTCAAAGAAAGTGGGAGACACTAAACTCATCGTGTTTTTGTTTATAATTGGATATATAAATTCCGGGCTTAGAATATTCCTGACTGGTATCTTGTCATACATATATAAATAAATTCAAACAAAAATATAATCTTTCTCAGTTGGATTGCAATGGAAGCAGGAAAAAACATGTTCTAGGGAGATGAAGGTTCTTTGACTTGCCCACAGTGGTGTGCAGCTGTGAACTCGGAAAAGAGGGATACAATGCTAATGCTTCTTTTTTTGTTTTCCAGGACTAACTATGTGCCTGGCCTTTCACATGCATCACTGCATTCCATGCTTACACTGGGGCCATGTTCCAACAGTCAGAACTGTTATTAAAATCAACATGTTACAGTCAATGAATCTGAAACTAAGGAAGATGAGGCATTTTTCCCAAGGAAAGTGTGGGCAGGAAGGAAGACTAAACCCACACTTTCTTTTCTCTGGGTTAAACACAATGTTAGCTCACACACACACACAAAAGTTACTTACTGTTTGATTTTTATCGCGGAAGGTCTCCAGAGTCTGTGTCTCTGCTACAAAGAGGAAGAATAACAAATAGAACAGTTAAAAATATTTTCTTGCTTAAAAGAGACTTCCCTTTTAGATAGAAATTCTCTTGGATTTAAAACGCATTGGTATACGTACCAGTAAAGGCATTGACTTGCTGCTTGCTATTCTATTATACCCAACAGTGGGCAGTGATAGAAAGAATGAACATGACTCTTAAAGACCTGTATGAAAGTGCTTCTGAGAAAATGGTCAGGTCTTGAGTTTTATTTTTCTTGACAAGTCAACTAGTCTGCTCTATTCATGTTGCTTAATATTTAAGCCTAGTTCTAAATATAGATCCGTTGGGAGGAAAAAATTATTTTCTTTTGCTCAGCTGTTGTGGTTCAGTGGTTGAGCATTGGCCTATGAAGCAAGAGATGACGGTTTGATTCTGAGGTTAAGGCACATGCCTGTTTAGCAGGATCCGTTTCCAGAGTGGGGCATGCAGGAGGCAGCCAATCGATGATTCTCTCTCATTATGGATGTTTCTCTTTTTTCCTCTCCCTTCCTCTCAAAATCAATAAAAATATATTTTTAAAAGAATATATTTTATTTGATTTTTTTTAAATCTCTATAATCCTATTTGAAATTAACTCTACTCTATACTTTTTACAATAATTAATTGGGAGACCAACAAATTTTACTGAACACTTATATGTTAACATTAGGATTTTCCCCCCCAGCTGCTTATGTTCTATAAAATGGAGATTTCTGCCCTGAAGACCTATGTTGAATATGTGTTTGTTGTGTCCACAGGGCCCTAGAAGAATCTGCAAAATCCCAACAATATTGATAACACTCAGGGAGATGTTCTATTATAATTCGATTTCAACAGATAATGAAAGTTAATTTTCTTGGAAAAGATTGGCATTTTCTCAATAAAAGGAAAACAGTGTAGTTGGTTGCCTAAACATGAAGATAAAAATCACTATATCTACAATTTACCATGAGCAAGCATTGTGCTAAACTTTTGAAGTAACTCTTTTAGCTTACAACTTTCCTAAAGTAGAGACAATTAGCTCCATTACACAAATGAGAAAGCCAAGAATTAGGAAGTGACTTAACCAAGGTCACACAGCTTAGTGAGAAACAGAAATGATCTTCCAATTTAGTTCTCCATGGCTTTAGCATACACTCTTTAAAAAAAAAAAATGCTTTTATAGATTCTATATTTATTTTAGAGAAAGAGCAAGGGAGAGGAAGAGAGAGAAACATCAATGAGAAACATCAATTGGCTGCCTCCTGCACGCCCCTCTCTGGGAATTGACAACCCGGCATGTGCCCTGAGGGGGAATTGACCCAGGTCATCAATAACAGAAACATCATCTGTCAACTGCCTCTTGCACGCCCCCTACTGGGGATGTTTCCTTGACCAGAATCGAACCCGGGACCTTTCAGTCCACAGGCTGGAAGCTCTATCCGCTGAGCCAAACCAGTTAGGGCTGACTGAATAACCTCTTGATGCATGGGTCAACACTCGGCTGGGCTCTTTTTTTTTTTTTTTTTTTTTTAAGTTAAGTATAGTTGGTGTGCAATATTATATTAATTTCGGGTGTATAATATAGTGATTTGACATTTATATACCTTACAATGTAATCACCACAGTAAATCTAGTAGTCATTTGTCTCTGTGTAAATTTATCACAATATTATTGACTATATTCCCCTTCACCTTTTTCACCTTCCCCTCAACCTGGAAACCATTAGATTGATCTCTGTGGCTATGAGTATGTTTTTGCTTTGTTTGTTCATTTGTTTTGTTTTTTTAGCTTCTACATATAATTACTTATATATTGTGTTTAAAATATTTTTATATTTAGATTCTACCTATAATTACATAAGATATTTGTCTTTCTCCATCTGATTTATGTCACTTATACCATCTATGTCCATCCATATTGTTGCAAATGGCATGATTCCATTCTTTTTTGTGGCTGAGTAATATTCCTGTGTGTGTGTGTGTGTGTGTGTGTGTGTAATATTTTCCTTTCTATTTTTTAAATATGTTTTTATTGATTTCAGAGAAAGGAAGGGAGAAGGAGAGAGATATATATGATGAAGGAGAATCATTATCCATGGACACCTAGGTTGCTTCCACATCTGGGCAATTGTAAATATAAGCATACACACTTAACTCTGCTGCCTTCACCATCCTTCACATTGGCATTATCACTACTCTTAAGTGGGTCACATTGCCCAGTTGCCAGCTTAACTTTTCTTTTTGTTTATTTATTCACCTGCCCACCCAATGGGCAAACATGTACTACACATCTGCTCTATCAGACACAGGGGACAGAGCAGTGAAGAAGAAGGGCACAGGCCCTGACCTCACAGACTGCATCCTAAAGACTGTCAGAATTGGAAAAACAAAGTATGCCTACTCATTTTTCTGGTTCAGTCAGAGACTCTGAAACTTCTTAAGTGTCATAGTCACTTTTCTGTTGTCCTAAAGGCCTAAATCCTTTCATATGAAACCCCTGATTTAACAGACTATGATTTGAATATTATATGAGCAAAGCTTAGCCTAAAATTATTATTTTTACAAAGTCCTGGCTGGGTAACTCAGTTGGTTAAAGCAGTGGTCGGCACTAGTCAACAGAGCCAAATATCAACAATACAAAGATTGAAATTTCTTTTGAGAGCGGAAAACTAACCTCTGCGCATGGACCACAAAGTTTCAATCACACTATACGTGCACACCCACACGTGGTATTTTGTGGAAGAGCCACATTCAAGAGGCCAAAGAACCACATGTGGCACTCGAGCTGCAGTTTCCGGACCACTGGGTTAGAGTACTGCCCAAATACGCCAAGGTTGCAGCACATATAAGAATCAACCAATGGCCGAAACCGGTTTGGCTCAATGGATAGAGCGTCGACTTGGGGACTGAAGGGACCCGGGTTCGATTTGGGTCAAGGGCATGTACCTTGGTTGTGGGCATATCCCCAGTAGGGGGTGTGCAAGAGGCAGCTGATTGATGACTCTCTCTCATTGGTGTTTCTAACTCTCTATCTCTCTCCCTTCCTCTCTGTACAAAAATCAATAAAATATATTTTTTTAAAAAAGAATCAACCAATGAATGCATATATAGGTGGAACAACGAGTCCATACCTCTCTTTCTCTCTTCTCTCTCTCTCTCTCTCTCTCTCTCTCTCTCTCTCTCTCTCTCTCTCTCTCTCTCTCTCTCTCTCTCCCCTCTCTAAAAAATCAATAAATAATTAAAAATACTACACACACAATAAAAACCAGAAAGAAGCCTGGCCATTATGGCTCAGTGGTTGAGCATAGACCCATGAACCAGGAGGTCACAGTTCAATTCCCAGTCAGGGCACATGTATGGGTTTCCAGCTCAATCCCCAATAGGAGGTGTGCAGGAGGCAACAGATCATTGATTCATTTTCATCATCAATGTTTCTATACCTCTCTCCCTCTCCTTTCCTCTCTCTGATATCAATAAAAACATCCTTAAAAGAAACAAAACTAAAAGCATTATCTTAGACTCACCATAAAAACCAGCCCTGACCCATTGGACTCAGTGGAAAGAGCATCAGTCTTGGGACTGAATGGTCCTGGGTTTGATTCCACTTAAGAACATGTACCTTGGTTGCAGGCATATCCCCAGAAGGGATATGCAGGAGGCAGCTAATGATGTTTCTCTTTCATTGATGTTTCTGACTTTCTATCTCCCTTCTGCTCTGTAAAAAGTCAATAAAAAATATTTGTTTAAAAACCATATTGGTGGAACTGCTAAGTAAACATGAATCTTAACCACACACAAGATTTTTCTCCTGTAAATCAACTCTACTTCCTTGCGTTTATTTTTCTTGGCCTAAATTGTAAAACTATCTGATCTCTCTCTCTCTCTCTCTCTCTCTCTCTCTCTCTCTCTCTCTCTCTCTCTCTCTCTCTCTCCCTCTTTTTCCCTCCCTATCTTTCTCTCTTTTTTCACTTATTTTACAGTGAAAATGATGGATAAAAGAGTTCTTTTATGTCATTGTGGCTTATTTTCATATATATATAGTTTTCAATCGAGATGGTGGAACAGTTGAAGAAAGTTGTAATTGTTTTCTTGGGGAACACAAGGGTGGCTGTGGTAGAGGTGGCAGTGAGGGTAGGATGTAATGGTCTTAAAAAGTATATAAATTTATTTTAGTTTTTTAAGTACATAAATTTAATAGTTGCCATATGGCATGTAAGGGCCAGACACGGTACTTAGCACTTTACATGCAAAATCTCTTTTAATTTTCTCCACAGTAGGAGGTACTATTATTTTTCAGATGAAAAAAAAACTGAATCTCAGAGAAATTTGCCCAAGTTTACACAACTATTAATTAGCAAGCCTGAGATTCAAAGTTCTTCAGAACTGAGGATTTAATAGTATTCATGACCCAGTCCTACCTCCATCAGATGGAAGAGAGATTGCATTTGTTCTGAATTCAAGGTGGATTTAGGAGTTTCCAGAATTCTTGGAACTCTTATTAAGGCTCCAATCCTCTTGCTAGCAAACATATTAAATGTATTTGCATTCCATATTAAAGAAAAGACATACATATAACTAAATATGAGTTGGCTTGAAAGTAGCTAACTGACATAATGCCACTTATTATAGATACCCAATTCAATATCATTAATTTGAAATTTTTTATTTTCCTATTTGAAGGTTCTCCCTTTTTTTTTCTTTCTTTGTTTAAATATTTTATTGGGTATTTTAAAATCTCAGAGATTGTGGGTGCTGTGCCTAAATTCCCTGATGCAAGAGATAGCCCCATTTTTGTTGCCTCAAGGGAAAGAAGAAGAAAAAAAAGTAAAAACTGAAAGGAAGGAGACTTCTGTTTTTGGCACAGACAACTGTAAGGGAATGCACTGTCTCATGAGGAAGTGAACTCCCCATTCAGGAATGGGTATGAGATAGAGTGAATACCTTCTTGGTGGTGATATTATAAAGAATATTGGGGCACATGATGAGAGAGTGGAATGAAATGACCCCTGAAGTCCCTTCTAGGTTTATTATAGGATTTTTAAAAATGTAATAATCACATACAATAAATATCTGGTATTACTTGATTTTCCCACAACATGGGTGATCATCTGTTCCCACCACCCTTCATTTCCTCACTAATCGCATAAGTGATGGTGGCTAGCAATCACTAAAGAATCACCAAAGATTAGAGAGCTGAAGTTAATAACTATAATAATAACTTATTTTGAATGCTTTCTATGCTGAGATCTTTATATACATTATAGATAGCATTCAATTTTTATAACAATCCTATGAAGTAGGCACTGGAAAAGAGAAGAAATTTAGTCTTACAGTGTTTGGGCAACTTGACTGAGTTCCCAAGTCTAGCGAACTGACATTAGATCCCATTCCACCTGCCAATGAAGCACTTACCCACAACCTCACCCTGCCTCTGATTCTTACTGATAATGTTAACAACAATAACTAAGATGCATTGAGTATATACATACCATGATCAAACCCCAGCTGAGCACTTTAGTCACATTTCTTATTTAAATCTCATAAAATGCAACTTATGAGATTTGTGATATTAGGAAGTAGGATTTACCTATTTTTAACTTCATTTTACAAAATAAAATGAGCTTCAGAGAGTTTAGGAGAGACCAGGTCTCTAAGAGAAAATATTTAAAATTAATCTTTCTGATCAATGTGACCTGAAGTCTGCTTTTCTGACCCTATCTTCTCTTCCAAAACAGCATTGGAAAGGCCTAGCTCAATTACTTAAAGAATTTAGCTGCTCCTACTATGATCAAAATCTGAGAAGGATGCTGGGCTTATTCCAATTAGAAGAAGTCCAGGAAATCACCGAATCCAACCCCAAACATGGACTGGAGTCAATTTAAGACAAAACATCACCAGTCCAGGAATAAATCACAAAATAACAGTGCAATGTAAAGAGATTTTCATTAGATTAAATTTATTTAATTTAAAAGACTGATACTTTTTTCGCAGAGATAATAATATTAAGATAGAAATTTTGCTTTTCTTACTTGGCAAAATATGTTGATAGAAATACTTTTAGGTGAGGGTCAGGAATTTTACTGGGTCATGAAAACCGTAATTCTCTGGACAGAAGAGAAAGCTGAGATCCAAAGACGTGAAAGGTACTGGGCCAAGGCTCGTTACATTTCTCAGTAGAGGTTTATTCCAGCACCTCCCTCACCTGAAATTCTATCACATGTGTACAGAAACATTTATGTGTCAATTCTTAAACCATTTCCTCCTTTCCCCCACATTCAAAATCCTCTGAACTCAGAACCACCTAAAGGCTTCCTCCTACACCCATGTAAAATTACCTGAGCCATGTTCCTCAGTGGTGAACATCCTTGGAAAGGCTGTAGTGAAGGGTCTCCATGGAGTCCAAGCAGGGGTGACCTTGGCTAGTGTCAGAAAGCAATGTAAGAAGGAGGCTTCCCTGAGAGCAGAGAGCTTGTTTCAAGGAATCCAAAGGGAAAAAATAAAGAGAAACACATGCTCACCTTCAACCTAAACACCTTCCTTAAGAGTATATCACACATTTAAAATGTTCATTACACATATTAAGAATTGTGTTACAGTCACATTGTCACAGTCTAATTGTTAATAATAGAACTAATAGCCACACACTAAATGGTTTTCACAATACATCCCCTAAAATCCTTCCAATGGCCTATATGATGGGCAATAACATATTTCATAAAGGAGAAGGTCACACAGTTTAAATAACTGGTGCAATATTACACAGCTAGTAAGAGGCAGAGAGTTGAATTCGGTTCCATCAGCCAAAAGTACATGCTCCATAAACCTTAAAACATACAAGCATATACACCCCTGCGCACACCCACAGTTCAGTGGGTCTCAATCCTGGTTGCAGGTGGAGAAGAAGCACCTGGGGAAGACTTTGTAAACTACCAGTGCTCAGGCTCTATCTCCACTGGTTTCTCAGGTTTGTGGGTAGGGCTCAATATTTATTGGTGTTAAAAAAAAAAAACCCCAGTGAATCTGATGAGCAATCAGGGTTCCAACCATTGATCTAGACCTTTCCTGCCATTATATAGATCCTATCCATAAGTTTCAATATAGATGGAAGAATTAAACATGGTCAGACATTGCCCCTAAGACCCACCACCAGGGCTGTCATTGAGAAGGACAGAAGTAAAAACAATTAGTATATTTAATACAATCTGCGGGGGATTATTCATAAAGAAAGCATGCAAAGTCCACTCACCTGGTTTGATGTCCAAATTCAGGTTTGATTTTTTATCATTCATTGGGCCTGAGAATTGGATACGGCAGCAATAAGTCCCACTGTCGGCTAAAGTCACATTCTCTATGGTCAAGGACACATCTCCTTTGTGGACTTTCCCCTTTAGCTGATATCTGCTAGAACTCTGGTAGTTCAATTCCCTTCCATTAGTGCTGAGCACTGTATTCTGACATTGAAACGTAGGACAGGGTCCCCTGCCCCAGCACACAGGCACGAGGTTTTCAGAGGTGGTTGGAAAGTAGTGGCAGGGAAGATAAGCATTCTGACCCACTGTGGCTGTGAGTGACTCCTCCGAAGACCCTGGACAAAGAGAAAAGGAGAGCAAGATGCCAAGTGATGAGTGTGGTTGGTCCACTTCAGGAAAAGTGCAAGTAATGCTTGCAGAGTAAAGAGAGAACTGCTGCTCTCCAGTGTAAAGGAGGCTCCACTAAAGCAATGACTCTCAGGCCTTAGAGGCATCTGAACCACTGGAAAGTCTGATTAAAACACAGATGCCTGGCTCAATTACTAGAATTCCTGACTTACTAGATCTGGAGTAGGGCATAAAAATTTGTATTTCTAACAAGTTCCCTGAAATTGCTGACATGGCTGGTGTTGGAACCTCACTTTGAAAACCAATGTTCTAGGAGAGACTTGTGGCCCAGTCCTATGAACAATGGAGGGCAGGGATAATGGAAAGAGAGGAAAAACAAAAGTCATTCATTGTCAGCCAGAAAAACATCTCAGCCAATTAGGATAGTGTTGTTCATCAATGAAGGGCAGTTATCCTCTCTCTCTCTCTCTCTCTCTCTCTCTCTCTCTCTCTCTCTCTCTCTCTTTCTCTCTCTTTCTCTCTCTCAAGTACCAGGTACATAATGAATAAAACCCTTACCTGAATAAGAAGCTAATACTAACCCTTTTTAGATTTAAAATTAATTGGTCTCTTTTAAAAAAGACATACACTGTAAAAAAAAAAAAAAAAAAAAAGCAGTATAAAAGGTATATGAAAAGTCTAGTCCCTTTGCTCTTTACTATTCCCAGATCCCCTTCCCAGAGTCTATACATTAAGAAGTATCTGTGTAGGGCCACACCCTGCAACACAAACAGACAGAAAGAAGTCTATTATACACATTATTCCTCTCTTTTTTAAAAAAATTAACATTGACTTAAGAGACACTTCATATCATTATGTTTAATCAGATTCACTGTTTGCATCATAGATATATCACAATTTATTTTTTCCACTTCCCTGCTGGTGAACATTTAGATTGTTTCCAAATGTTCGCTACTGCAAACATTATGAAGGCCATCCTTGTATCTTTATCTTGCACAACCCAATCGCAAAAGTCCATGCCCAGACTTACTTGTTAATAGTAGCAGCCACAGGACACAGTTGAAGCAAAGATGTGAAAACATGGGTTATAAGAAAAGCCCAAGTCTGGCTCTGTTGAGGTGCCGTTTTAATTCTTCAATTGAACTGGGTACTTCCTGCAACTGCGTTTTTACTCCACAATCACAGGAGCGGTGGCCACTTCCCTGAGTGCCAGCCTAGCACACCAGTGCATCAGGCTACTGATCATTCCTCTATTAAAGCCACCAAGTCTACGTCAAAGGAAACCCCAGTTCTCTGTCATGCTCCACCAACTTCCTGTTAGGGCTCTGATATTCATTCTGAGAGTATCAACAAAGAGGAAACAATACTCAGAAAGTATTACTCAATAAAGAAAAAAAGGTGTCTCTCAGTGAGAAAGCTTTCTTTTCTTTCTTTTTTTAATATGTTTTATTGATTTTCCATAGAGAGGAAGGAAGAGGGTTAGAAAGCTAGAAACATTGATGAGAGAGAAACATCGACCAGCTGCCTCCTGCACACCAGGGATGTGCCCGCAACCAATGTACATGCCCTTGACCGGAATCAAACCTAGGACCCTTCAGTCCGCAGACCAACACTCTATCCATGAGCCAAACCGGTTTCGGCGAGAAAGCTTTCTGATACCTCCAAGTAAAATAGTCCTCTTTTTCAAATGGATCACATTTTAGTCCAGCTGGTTATCAGGGAACACAAGTTAGAAACACATGAATTTATTCAGAAAGTCAGTCAATTGGTCAGTGGTGACCATTGCTTATGAAGAACCTGCTATGTGTCAGGCACTGGGCCAAGAGCTAGAGAATACCACAATGAATGACATATTCATTACCCTTACATTTATGGGCCCTTTCCACTCCATTATAAGCCTAATTCTTAGCCTTGTTCTAACACAAATTGGTCTACACCATGTAATCTTGCTGGGTCTCAGATTCTTCATTTATAAAATTTAGAAAATGAGGAATTTGTGTTAATATTCTGACTTTGATCTGAACTTTTAAACTCTTCCACTTAGGAAAGACACAGTCTTGTCACCAATGCTCTTTCTCCCTTCTTGTGGGTAAAATAGGGGGACCTCAATATTCTATTCCATCTTAAATACACCAGATGTCCCTATATACACCAGATGTCCCCTTCCCACCCACCCTTTAGGCATCATTTGATGGAAAATATTGAATTACCTCCATACTCTCCATCACTGAGCTAACATATCAGCCCAAACAGTCTCAGCCCTGGGAGAGTGACTTCTGTCTGGGAAACTTAGAAGCCAAGGGTTGTTTACAAAAGACAAGTGAGAAAACAGTCTAGTTTCTCAAAACCCATGGACTTTTATCTTTCCTTCCTGGATTTCTTTGTCATGCACCTTTATGCCATCAAATACATTTAATATACACTGGGTGGCCAAATTATTATCATCTCTGAACGCATAATAATCTGGCCACACAGTGTACTTCTCTTGAGTACCTCATTTATTTGATATCAAAGATACTATAAATCATGTACCTGATCAGTTTTCCTCTTTGCACTGGCTGATAGAAAGCTCAGTACAAATAGGTGGTTGATCTCCAGCAAAAGTCTAGAATACTTTTGGTACCCATTTGAGATACAACTACAGTGAGTGGCCAGATTATTATGGGTTCAGAGATCATAATAATCTGGCCACTCAGTGTAAGCCTCCAGCTTTGGTTAAGTGTGAGCACTTTCATAGTACCACAGAGGTAGCAGTACTCAAGAGGTCACAGCCAACTTCTTCATTTTATAGACAGGGAGACTGAGACCTGAGAAGATTGATTTGCCCAAAGGCACAGGATTGGTAATTTCAAATGAGAATGCAAGTCCCTAAGCTCCAGATTGTTCCACTATAAGCCATGCTTCATGAACTTGATATTTGCCCTTGATATGTCTGCCCACATAACTAATAACAACCAGCATATTCAAGTGTAAGGTAGAGTCAATTAATCATGGTTTCAGGGCTGATATTTACAAAATGCATGCCATGTGTTAACTCTCAATAAATCTGCTAAAAATAATAAAAATTCAGCACAGCCAGTTGGTAGAGCTTTGTCCTGTGCACGGAGGGTTGCTGGTTCGATTCCTAGTTAGGGCACCTACTTGGGTTGCAGGTTCAATCCCGGTTGCAGGTTCAATCCCTAATAGGGGTATGTACCGAAGGCAACTGGTCAATGTGTTCTGTGTTCTCTCTCTCTCTCTCTCTCTCTCTCTCTCTCTCTCTTTCTCTCAGGCCTTTGGCTTTTATTAATTAGCCAGATGGATATTACTTTTTGAGGAGGCCATTTGGATCACTTGCTCATGATTACATTCACAGTTCCATTTCTGTATTTAAAATTATTCTGATCTTCACTTTATAGTATCATTGCCCTCTTATACCTTTGGAATCAAGTAAGGCAATAATTGTATGACTGGAGATGTTTAGGTAAAAGAAAGGAGGAAAAGATAAGTAAACACTAGTGGGGACAATTTGGAGAGCTCGGGCTTAAAAGTTGAAGTCTTGTTTTTGACTGGACTGGTTAGTTACTGTCCTGTCTGGGACACACTGAAGTCACTTTGAAATGTGCCAGTCATGGGTTCACATGTGCTCCAATTGCAGACCTTACTCTGCATGCATTCCTGACCTAGGGAAGCAGGGGAGAGAGCACAAGTGCCAGGTCAATCGTCCCTCCACTGGAAGAACCAACACAAAAGCAGAAAACAACCAGATAGAAAGGACACCTGTAGGTGTGGAGGTCAGGAACATTATTTTGCTTCATGATGTGTTGGAAAGAGTCTTACAATTGTATTAAGAGAACCTAAATTAAATTTGTAGTTTCACCTCTACCTTTGGTGTGACCTTGGACAAGTCATCTTACCTTTTGGGAAATCCTTAGTTTCCTTCCTGGCAAAACAAAGGTGATGATCTTCAGGGTCGGGGGAGGAGGTAGAAAAATATGTGTGTGCCTTAGCTGGGGGCAGGTCACATACACAGGGGAAGTGGGCTGGGTGGGTACTGCAGAACAAGAGACATGCTCCACCGCCCCAGCCTCAGGCAGTTGTCACCAAGGCCTATTGGGGGTAGGTGTTCCATTTTGGCAGGACTTCTAATTTTTAATTGTTGGCAATTAATTATAAAATTTTAAAGTCTTGATAGAAAAGAGGGGGGGGGGGGAGTCACCTATGCTAATAATAACACCGCCTGGAATATAGCCATGGGCTAATGATTTGGAATCTCTAAGCTTCTTCCCAGCTCAAATATTTGTACTTCTAGGTATATACATTAATATTTCAGTTGTGATATATTATTCTAAGTTTTTTATTTTTTATTTTTAAAATCTTCACCCAAAGATATGTTATTATGGATTTCTGGACTGATGTGAGAGAAACATCAATCTGTAGCCTCTCATTCGCACCCTAAGGATAGAATCTGCAACCTAGGTAAGTGCCCTTATTGGGACTCAAACCCGCAACCTTTTGGTGTATGGGACGATGTTCCAACCAACTGATCCAAACGGCCAGGGCTATTCTAAGTTATAAAGACAACATTTTATTCCTCTGCTCCAGTTTACCAGTCCACAACTGGCCGTGTTATTATTAGCATATGATTCAAAGAAATGATGACATTTCACTATTTGACATTTCACTATTTATTAATGGTTAATCATTGTTGAGGATGTGGGGGTGTCCTACCTCCTTTAGGTAGGGGGCCTCCCACTCTCCAAAGCCTTACTTTACTTCTCTCCAGAAGATTCCAAGGGTAGACAGCCCCTTAAGGTTCTTAGTAACAACAGTGCCATAGAAATCTGCTTCTTTGTAGAATGAATCAACCAACCACACAGAACCACCCACTCATGTGGACACTTCAAGTTGATAGCTACATACATATCTACTCAGCAAAGGGTGATGATGGGCTCTTTCATTGGTGGTGTGTGAGTGTGGACCTACGATGCTAACTCACGTTTGATTTTGGGTATAGTAATGCGTTATCTGGCCATTGAAAATTCCTTTTTGAAATTGTCCTTTTTAAGACTTACAGAACCACACCCCGCTCCTTGGCCCCTCCACTCCCAAACCCCCACTTTCAGCAGCTACTGCACAGTATGACTATTAGGTATTTTTGCCTCTTAGGTGACCTATAGAAACCTTCGTTTTCCCTTATTCTGGGCTTTTCACCATGTTTGCATGTAGCCTGATTTATTTTGAGCTGCTGCACATCTCTATTTATATCCTGCATGTCAGACAGTTGGAGGAAAGTTCCTTTCTTGGCCCAAATCTTTCTATGAATGAGAGAAATAGAGACCATACTTTACACTCATGCAATCTTCCTGTGTGACCCACACACTCACAACCCCTGTGCTCACATAACTATTTCTGAATTTCAAGTAGGAGAGTTGCCAAAGGCAAATTTATTCCCTGGAATCTTGTATGATCCACAGAGGGTGAATGAATCCCTGCTTGCTGAAGCTGTTGGTAACTGCTCTCAACCTCTTTTTCCTCATTCATAAATACTGAGGTGTACGGGAATTTAAGGTAGTGAAGTTTCCTCCTTAAGCATTAGCTTTATGGGAGAGGTCTGGTTGAGGAGATAGGCAGCCTCAGGACGTAACTGCTCTGTGTTCCAATTTTGAAAAAGTGCAGGCCTAGGGCCAGACACTGAATTGCCGCCACCACGGTTGTGTACAGCTCTGGCTTGTGTGCCTGCCCTGTGTCCCCCTCACGTCGGCAAATTCCTGGGACAGTGCGCTGGGGATCTTCGAAGGGCTTGGCAAGCGTTAATATTGCCCTTATTCTCCTGATTTTCAGGTTGGGTTTACTTGGATTTTAGGCCAATTGTGGCATTAGTTTCTTTATATTTTCCACTCCCATGGCAAAATGTGGTGCCCTCACAAAGCTATTGTGCTTTATTATTAGCTAACACTTTTGGTCTTTTTCTTTGAGGAGAAGGAAAGATGTCTGTTTTCCCTCATGATGGAAAGGATGCAGCAAAAAATCAAGATAATGAACAAGGACCTAAGTGAAGACTGAGTTTCAGTGTGTCCCCTGAGTAATCCACAGAGCAGGTAACACCAGAAATCCCAACACTGGGGACTTGGTAGCTGCACTCTCTCAGCATCAGGCAGATTAGGGATCATGAGCCACAGGTCACTGCTAAGAAGGTGATCCAAGTTATCCTTATTTGAATGACACCACCAACAGCATTAGTGACAAAGGAGAAACAGTGCTCAAACTTTGCCGCCTGGCTTAATGGTGATCATATCAGGTAATAATATGTATTATTATTATTATTATTATTATTGCTATTATTATTTTTGTATTAATATCAACTAACATTTATGGAGCATTTACTATGTGCCAGCACTATGGTGATCACTTTACTTAATCTTATCAAACCCTTACAAATCTAAGGGCCTATTTTACAGGTGAGAAAACTGGGCTTTAGAGAGGGTTGGTAACTTTTCCATCCAAAGTCACAAAATTAATCACTGCTTCTAGGGACTCAAGCGCAGGAGGGGAAAATTAACATTGGCCTATTTCATTCAAGATGAAGCTCCTGGGGCTCTCGCCTACGCACGTGACTGACCTCTCGCGCCCGTTGGGTATTGTGGAGCTCCACGCGTCACCTCTCGCGCCCCACCTCGCGCCCCTTGGAGGAACTGCCACCACCACCGCCCCCAGAGTACGCGTTGAAGTCGCGGCGAGGCCTCTGCTCCGGCCATGCCCAAGAATAAAGGTAAAGGAGGTAAAAATAGACGTAGGGGTAAGAACGAAAATGAATCCGAAAAAAGAGAATTGGTGTTCAAAGAAGATGGGCAAGAATATGCTCAGGTAATCAAAATGTTGGGAAACGGACGCTTAGAAGCCATGTGTTTTGATGGTGTAAAGAGATTGTGTCACATCAGAGGGAAATTGAGGAAAAAGGTTTGGATAAATACCTCGGACATAATATTAGTTGGTCTACGAGACTACCAGGATAATAAAGCTGATGTGATTTTAAAATACAATGCTGATGAAGCGAGAAGTCTGAAGGCATATGGTGAACTTCCGGAGCATGCCAAAATCAATGAAACTGATACATTTGGTCCTGGAGATGACGATGAAATCCAGTTTGATGACATTGGTGATGATGACGAAGACATTGATGATATCTAACTTGACCTCAACATTCTGTATTCCAACTTCACTGAGGATTGTTCAACAATTTGGATTTTGGCTAAGGCCTATAAAAGAAGATTAAAATTCCATTGATTTGAATGCAGCTGGGTTAAAGCACACTGATTTGTTTCTAAAGTGTTTCTTTAAAAACCGGTAATGCTGAATTAAGTGAAATATTAAGATCACTTTGTTCTTTGGGTGTAATGGAGCTTATGGGTAAAAGAGTACAGCTACTATTTTTTAAAAGAGGGGGGAAAAAAACAACTTTCCTATTTTGACCTCTTCCAGTAAATAAATGGATGCTTTGAATAAACGATTTGCCCTATATACTTACCAATTATAAGTAAGCCCTAGATTTTACTGGCCTGTTGACTGAATAGTGGCTTTCTATATATTCCAGTTACCTACGTGTATCCTTGGGGTTTTGAATAAATTTAAGGGAAGCAGAAATCAGAAATGATTTGGTCTGTTTTTCATATTTAAATAGCATGTGGCTATTTTTATACTAATTTTGCTATTGCATACATTCTTTTCATGACCTTATTTTGTAATGATAAACATCAAGAAAGCATTTCCAACATGCAGATATTAGAACCTGTGTTTTAATAGCAATTTTGAATTTGTAAGGTTAGTAGTTGCAGAAATTGGACACTAGATGGCACCCCGTTGTCTTAACATTGGAAATACTGATTTGGTTGTAAATTTTTTTTACACTTCCTGTGCATATGAAATATCCTAAGTTTTTTTTATCATGTGCATTACGTTGAATATTTTTGCAGAATTAAAAGATTATTGTCATTTTATTTTGGAAGTCATATGTGCAAGCTACAATTTTAAATGACTCATACACATGACTTATGTATAAATGAAAATTTAATTTCACAACAACTTATACAAATTAAGCCCTTTTCAAAAATATCCCTAAGCTGGGGAAAGAGGTGGGAATAATAATTTAATGAAAAGATAGTCTCCCATTTCTGAATGGAAGAGCTACAGTGGAGAATATAATAAAGACAATGTCATGCTGCACAGTGTATTATACACTTTGTGTTTAGGATGTATTTTGTTGTGTGTAGATTTTTTTTTTTTTTTGCTTCTATGTTATTAGGAATTTATTTAAATTTTATTTTATTGTTTAAAGTATTAGAAATAGTAATACATATATCTCCTTTTCCCCCCACTGACCTTCCCCCAGCCTTTCCTACACTGACACATACCCTCATCCCATGTCCCCAGTGTCTTGTGTCCATTGGTTGTGCTTATATGCATGCAGACAAATCCTTCATTTGATTTCTTTCCCCTCCTCCCCAACACTCCCAGCCTTCCCACTGTAATTTGACAGTCTGATCAATGCCTTACTGCCTCTGTATCTTTTTGTTCATCAGGTTATAATGTTCTTTATTTTGCATAAATGAGTAAGATCAATATATTTTTATGCAGAGGAAGGTAGGAGATAGAAACATCAATGATGAAAATCATTGATGGCTGCCTCCTACACGCCCTCTACTGGGGATTGAGCTCCCCTACTGGAGATCAAGCTTTCAACCAGGCATGTGCCCTGACAGGAATGGAATTGGAAACTCCTAGTTCATAGATGCTTAACCATTGAGCCACATGGCCAGGCCCTCATTATTCTGTATTGCTCTCCCTAGTAGGTAGCAGTAAATCAGAGAGTCCTAGTATCACCCACCACCTAAGCCTCCAGGCACCACTTTCCCTCTTCTAGATCAGATATTTCTTACATAGATGATTAAAAAACCTAAAACCTGACAAATTTCAAAAATAATTAAAATGAATCTTTCATTCTCGACATTAGATGGTATCTATCCTTTGAAATAGGTACCATAATTACTGTAGTTAAGGAAATTGAGATTCAACCAAAACTACAGTTAGTAAATAGTGGAAACCAAATTCTACCATGCTCTTTTTCTCTTTTCAAAATTTTAAGCCTCAGTTTTAATTCTGCCATTTACTAACTGGTGTCCTTTGTGTATAGAAAGTTACATTTGAGTCTCAATATCCTTATCCATTAATTGGTTTTTATATCATTTCCCAAATTTGACTCTGTATAAACAGACACAAATATACCCAGCAACTCGCTTTATCAATATCTTGAATATCTTTCCTCATCAGTACTCACTCTTTAAAAAAAAAAAATCTTTATTATTGAAAGTATTACATACGTACTCCTTTTCCCCCCATAAATCTCTTCCAGCTCTCATCCTCCCCCAGTACTCTCTCTTAATGGCTCTTAAATGGTTGCATATTATTTATAGCAGATCCCTTTTATTTGTTGAATGAATGTGAAAATCAGTAAAGACCCCTAGGGTATCTTTGCTGATACAACCACACCTCCCTGCAAGACTCTTATCTTTTGAATGCCTTCCCTTATTCCAAAGCTAGAATGGGAGACAGGGAACCAGCAGTTTCATAGAATTTGGTTATATATTAAACAAATGTGAAAAGCATCTTACTGTCTTATTCACTAACCAATAATGCCTGAAGTCTTTCCCAGGCCCTGGGAGAAAGGTTCTAATCAAGACTTATTCAAAACATATTATTTTGAAAACACACCATGTTTTCTCCACTAGAAAAGGCCACCACCAGCAGGCACAGGCAGCAAGTTTCACTTGTTGAATAAAAAGCTCAGTATTATTATATAAACAGAACCTCTGAGCTCCTCATCTTTTTCCCTCCTCTGCCAGCTGGCGACAGCTATAAAACTTATGGTAAGAGTGCCACTTAGTTCTTTAATCTTTGATTCTAAATGCCAAACACAAAAGGCAAAAGACTTAGCAGAATTGTTGACTTTTGATAGCTTACTAAGTATCATAAATTATGCCAAGTGCTTTGTAGTCATAAAACCACAAAACTGACCCTCAGTTTCTTTCTTTTAAAAAAAAATATATATTTTATTGATTTTTCACAGAGAGGGAGTTGAAACATCAATGAGAGAGTCATCGATCGGCTGCCTCTTGCACGCCCCCTACTGGGGATGGGCCTGCAACCAAGGTACATGCCCTTGACCGGAATCAAACCTGGGACCTTTCAGTCCACAGGCAGACTCTCTATCCACTGAGCCAAACCAGTTTCAGCTGACCCTCAGTTTCTTAAAGTGGAAATGATATAGGTATCTCCTTAAAATACACACAGAAGTCTAAGACATAAATACCTTAACATGTCCAATTTCCACATACAAATCTCTTCCTCAGTCTAGAAGCATGAGTATCTAAGACTATGGACTTTATATGGTAAAAATGTTGGTTCTCATCTTAGCTCCACTATTTACTACCCATTATTAACTGTATGTTGCAGTAGAGAGGTGGTAAAGTATGGAGGTTAAGTGCTTTGACTTTTTTTTGTCTTTTCCCTTCTTTGTTTTTATAAAAATATATTTTATTGATTTTTTTTACAGAGAGGGAGATAGTGAGTTAAAAACATTGATGAGAAACATTGATCAGCTGCCTCCTGCACACCCTCAACTGGGGTGTGCCCGCAACCAAGGTACATGCCCTTGACTGGAATTGAACCTGGGACCTTTCAGGCATCAGGCCAACGCTCTATCCACTGAGCCAAACCAGTTTCGATCCTTCTTTGTTTTTAAAAATACATATGTTTTCATTGATTTTAGAGAGGGAGGATAGGTAGAAACATTGATGAGACAGAAACATCAATCAGCTGCCTCCTACACGCCCTCTACTGGGGATTGAGCTCAAAATATAGGCATGTACCTTGACCTCTTGATTCATGGGTTGATGCTCAACCACTGACTCACACCAGCCAGGCTGCTTTGCCTTTGAAAGTAGAAATTTTCAATCCTAGCTCTGCCACTCACTGTCTTGGTAACCTTGGGTAAATTACATAACCTCTCAGAGCAATTGCTTCCTCATCTGTAATATGGGTATAAAAATCATACTGATTTCATTGGGTTGTTGTGAGGATGAAATGACTATGTAATTATTAGAACAGTGTCAACAGAGCCCTATATATGTTTGCTTTTGGCTTTCCATCAGATTTAGGATAAAATAAATTCTTTCCCTTGGCCTTGCCAAGATAAAACTGTCAGATGTTTTCATACATTCTGGGAAAAGCCACAATATAAAAGGGGGACCTTGAAATCTAGTGTTTTGTCCAAGATATCAGGAAGGGGAAACCTATATGGGAAAAACATCAATGTGAGAGACACATCTATTGGCTGCCTCCCACACACTCCCAAGTAGGAGTGGGATCAAGCCTGCAACCCAAGGTACACTCCCTTTACCAAGAATCAAACACTAAACCAGTGAGTAGGCTGACACTTTGACCACTGAGCCACATTGGCCAGAACCATATAAGCTTTTAAACTTATAACTATCAGATCTTGTGCTACTTTATATCATTGAAATAGTTCACATCAAAATTCTTTTAAAAGACCTACAAAATCAGATCCTCTCAATGTCAGAATTTAAGATTGCTAATGGAATTTAAATCCCTTAATCCTCTCTCCAAACACAAATTAATATACAAATTATGTTGTAGCTCTTAAAACAGCGTGACTCAATTAGGTTTCTTTTCCTTGCAAGGATTTGCAAAACAGCCAAAAATTGGCTTTGTACCTTTTTAGCCCAACATCTTTAAGATTATAAAAGGGTTGCAGGCAAATACGTAACCAGATTTCTTTTGAGAGCTGCTCAAGTGTTATGCAATGTCTAGCTTGCTCTCCCAGAAGAGAATGGAGTATCCCTTCCCCTTCATTAAAAACTTACCTTTGGCCTGTGTCCTCTGGAGCCCAACAATCCACCCCAAATACATGCCAGGAAAAAAAAAAGGGGGGAGGGGGGGCAATCTACTTGGGAACAGCCTACACTCCAAAGATTTCTAAAAAGAATGAATGTTTCACATATAAAATTGACCTGTGGTCACTTAAACTGGTTTTTGCCAGCTCTAGAGCTGAAGACCTTAATAGAGTAAGGATGAGGATGGTATACTGGAAACCAGGGACAGGAAAATATCAAGTTTACATCTGGGAAAGGCATTACCTTTATTAGTGATTTTTTTTTTTTAACACCGATACTTAAATTTTGATTATTTGTAGCAGAATCATCCAAGGGCTTATTAAATCACAGCTTTTTGTATACCACTGCTGGAGTTTGATTTAGTAGATCTGGCGTGAGGCAAGAGAACATCTAACAGTCTCTGCCACCAAACTCCCTTCCCATTGCAGGTTTCCAGCTTTAAACAAGTATGAACTGAATTTTAAAGGAAATGTACCATTAATTACCTAAACATTTTAATTACTAAAATAAGTGGTTGCAATTAAAAGTGATCAAAGGACTTATCTGCCAAAACCAGTTTGGCTCAGTGGATAGAGTGTCGGCCTGCAAACTGAAAGGTCCCAGGTTCGATTCCAGTCAAGGGCATGTACCTTGGTTGTGGGCACATCCCCAGTAGGGGGTTTGCAGGAGGCAGCTGATTGATGTTTCTAACTCTCTATCCCTCTCTCTTCCTCTCAGTAAAAAAATCAATTATATATATATTTTTTTCTTTCTTTTTTTAAAGGACTTATCTGATTGACTAAAAAAAGTTAAGGGACCCATCCAGGATAGGGCCAAGACTTAGTGTATTTACAGGAACAGTCAAGAGGAAAAATAAAATTACTATTTTATAATTCTATGGAATTCCTCTTATTTAACATGTTATAATACTTTTTAGAGAGTAAGCAAATTTTTAAGTAAAATATAAAGATTTCACAATTTCATATTTATACTACTTGATATCTTTTATTTATCATTCTTAACGCAAATAACAAGTCTATGTTCCAAGGATGAAAATTTGCTATTACTGAGGATTATCTTCAATGTTTAGTGCAACTCCAAAAACAGGAATATTCCACACAACAGCAGCACTTTGCTTTTTAAGTTGAATACTCTTAATGCAGTCATACTCATTGCTTTCATTTCATAAAATGAAATTACTGCCTGTGATATCTCATAATTGATGAAGTTGAGAGGGAAGCTGTTTACATAACTCCTATTCATCTCTTTTAAGACACTCCAAGAGCAAATTAACTAATATATAATGCTATTTACGGAAAGGAAAAAAGAAAAACAACAAAAAATCCTTTATGGTCTTTCATTCATTTCATCAATTAGAACACACAAGGCAGCATCTTTCTCTATAATCTGGTCTTTCCGATGACCTGAATTTTCTCTTTCTTGATCATTCTGTCCAGTACAATTGTTGCTATCATCAGCATCCATTGGTTCAGTTTTTACTTTTACCCCTGCTTCTGAATGGGGCAAATCATCAGGCAAAGAAGCCAAGCAATTTTGAATCATCTCAATGACTCTTTCCAGATGCTTTTGAAACCTCTCAGCTGTTTCAAGGCGTTGACGTTTCTGCACCTCCATCATGACCCTGAGGGTCTCTCTTGCTTGGTGAGGTCGGTATTCATTTATGAGATGATGAACATGTACAAAAAGCAGCTTAAGATCTTCCAGTTTCTCTTCTCGCTTTATACTCCCAGGGCTCCTTATCAATATATCTAAGAGGTCTAAGAAATTAATAAGGATAGACATATTCAGTTTTCTCAGTTCTTTCTTGTGATCAAACTGCATAGGATGAAGCCGTTCAATGCCCTGACTTTCTAAAGGGCGGATGATAAGATCATCACACTGGAACTGGTTGCCGAACATCATGTAACTGTCTTTTATTGGAGGTGGAGGCTTGGGAGCTAGTCCTTCCTGAATATTTTCATCCGTATACTCCTTGATGTATTGCATCGGAGGTGGTGGAAGGGCACTCACTTGCTGTGGCTCACCCATGGTGGAAGATCAAGAACCTACAGAAATAGACCAAAGATTTAGAGGACCTCTACAAAACAAACCTGTCACATTGGGTGACTAGAGACAGAATATTTTCCTTTTTTCGCCCTAGCAGTTGGGGGCCCAGAACAAAATGATCTCCGTGGTTTCTAAAACTAACATTTATAACAGGGAAAGGTTATGATCCTTTTCTATTATCCAAGTACTTTCTTTCTCTACATAGTACTTTCAGCACCACAAAAAATATGCTGCAGTATATTTTCATCTATAAAGAAAATTGTGCTCATTTAGACTGATCTTAATCAGGTTTTTAAAGATATAAAACACCATCTAACATGAAAGATGGCAAATAATATACTGGAGGTAGTTTTATACTGGAATTTGTGTAGTTCAAATGACATCAATGGAACATTCCTGAGTTTCCAAGCCACAATGGCTGAGAATCAATGAGACAGGAGTGTTTATTCTCTGTATCTGATTTGTTTCCCCAACCAGACAATAAGCTCCATAAAGGGAAAAATTTTGTCTATCATAGTTCTTGCTATGTCCACAGTCTTGCACATAGAAGTTTCATAAATATTTGTTGAGCAGCTTCATTTCAAGAGGGCTCCAAATCAGAGAAGTTGGAGGTACAAACATCCTTAATGTATGTTCATTCTTTCATATATATATTTAATATATGACAATGAGTATCCAGGGATGATTATCATGATGATAGATAAAATTTGAGTGCAAATTATATGCCAGGCACTATTCTAAATACTTCTCTCGTGGTTGTGAGAAATCCGAGAAAAGAAAGGTGCTCTTTCCATTTTAGAGATGAAACAAGTGGTTGAGCCATTTGTGTAAAGTCACAGAGTAAGTAATAGAGGATGGATCCAGAGTCTCAAGATCTCAAACACTCCATTATACTACCTTTCCAGGATAAATAAAAAACACTACCTCCATCCCAGTACTACTTACAATCTACCAAAAAAATAACTACAAATTTTAAGGCTACTACAAAAGACCAATAGATCTGACTACCAAAAATAAATATAGCACAACAGAATGGTGGTTACCAGAGAGAAAGGAGGGTGAGAAAGGGCAGTAAGGTTAAAGGGTCAAATACATAGAGACTAGACTTTGGGTGGTAGGCACACAGTTGAGTAAAATTATGAGGATGTACACCTGAAACTTACATAATGTCATGAACCAATGTCAACCCAATAAATTTAATAAAAATAAATCTAAAAATTCCATTTAGCAAAGTATAAGCAAAATAACAGGCAATCTCATTTTTCTGGGATAAAATGCTTACAAACTAACAAAGGGCAAAAACTAGAAATTTCTATTTTTAAAAAACATTATTTTCTGACTCCATTTCCCAGGAGCACCATGACTTCAGGAATTGCCTGACTTGTTCACAACTCTACCAAGCTGCACCTCAAACAATGCCTAAAAGGTGCTAGGTCCTCAATAAAGGTCCATTGAGTGAACCTCTCAAAAAACAAAACAAAACAAAACAAAAAAAACTACCTTAAAGAAGGATATAGCAGAAGATGACAAGGAAAATGCAATTGTTAAATAAAGTTGGGATGCCCGGACCAGGTAACTAACTCAGTTGGGGTTAATGTCATCCTGATATGCTAAGTTGCTCTATCCACTGAACCAAACCAGTTTCGGCAGGTCATCCTAATTTTAGAAGCAAATGTTTAGTTATCCTGGACCTTCAGAGAAACTTCTGGGGTGGAAAGCTCAGCTCAGCTCTCACAGAAGTCACCTTTAGGCAGCAACACTCTTAGGTAATAGGCCAGCACCACCCCCAGGTAGTGTGGGAAATTTGCATACACAACTGATAGGAAAGGAAGCAAATAATATTTGGAATTTAATTTGGCAGCATCAAAAAGTTTAATACTGATATTCTTTGAACCAATAATTCTATTCATAGAAATTTATCTATAAAATTGGTACAAGAACATACACACACACACACACACACACACACACACACACAAATGCTTAAGTTTAATGCAGCCCTATTCAAAAAGAGTAGGAAAAGTTGAAATAAATGCATGATTTCATAATGAGGACTGTATAAGATAGTCTGTAATACAATACAGCCATTAAGGAAAAAGGAATTAAAGTACATGGGGAGTAGGGTTATAAACACTGTGTACTGTTTCACTTAGTTACAAACTTAGGATAGCTGCAAAGAGTTATAATCAACCCTTTAAAACGTTTTAACAGCCGAAGCCGGTTTGGCTCAGTGGTAGAGCGTCAGTCTGCGGACTGAAAAGTCCCAGGTTTGATTCCGGTCAAGGGCATGTACATTGGCTGCGGGCACATCCCCGGTAGGGAGTGTGTGCAGGAAGCAGCTGGTCGATGTTTCTCTCTAATTGACGTTTCTGGCTCTCTAACTCTCTCCCTTCCTCTCTGTAAAAAATCAAGAAAATACAGCCCTAGTTGGTTTGGCTCAAAGGGTAGAGCCATAGTTGGCAAACTGAGGCTCACGAGCCACATGCTGCTCTTTGACCCCTTGAGTGTGGCTCTTCCACAAAATATGCGAGTCTATTTTGAAAAAGTGGCGTTAGAAGAAGTTTAAGTTTTAATAATTTGGCTCTCAAAAGAAATTTCAATCGTTGTACTGTTGATATTTGACTGAGTTTGCCGACCATTTAAGAGCATTGGCTTGCAAACTAAAGGTCATGGGCTCAATTCTAGGCAAGAGCACATGCCAGGGTTGTGGGCTCAATCCCCAGTGGGGGGCATAGAGGAGGCAGCCGGTCAATGTTTCTCTCTCATTGAGATTTCTCTCTCTCCTTTCCTCTCTGAAATAAATTTTTAATAAAAAAAAAAAAAAAAAAAAAAGTTTTAACATAAATTAACTTATAGAAACACTAAAGGCCCCGTGCACAGATTCATACACCAGTGGGGTCCCTCGGCCTGGCCTGTGGGAATTGGCCGAAACTGGCTCTCCAACATCATCCCCCCCCCCAAGAGTCTTGGATTTCAAAGGCCGTTCTCGTGTGATGCACCCCAGAATCGGGCTCCCTCCTCTCTGGTTCTCAGTGTGTCATCAGAGAACCGCAGCTGCCAAGTCACTGCACTAAGCATCTGCCCCCCTGGTGGTCAGTGCACATCATAGCTACCGGTTAGCTGGTTGGATGGTCACTTAGGCTTTTATATATACATAAGACTATGAATAGTAGAAAGAACATTTCATATTCTCTTTTGTTGTTGTTAATCCTCACCCTAGGATATTTTCCCCATTAATTTTGAGAGAGTGGAAGGTGGTAGTGGTGGAGGCATCCATTGGTTATCTTCCATTGGAGCTGGGGACTGAACCTGCAACCCAGTTACCTATCCTTGATTGGAAATTGAACCTGCGACCCTTCCTGCACTAGTGGTTCCTCTAACCATTGAGCCCACTTGCCAGGACAAACATTTCATATTCTTCACACATATTCTCCTAATTTTAACATTTCCCCTCACTTGCCTTATTGGTCTCTCATCTCTTTACCCTTAATATTGCAGTGCATATCCCCAAAACAAGAATGTTCTCTTACTAACTACATCATTACCAGAATCAGAGAAGTGGCATTGATCTGTTACTTCAAAATAACTTTTTCAGATGTATTTTTTTATTGATGTCAGAGAGGAAGGGAGAGGGAGAGATAGAAACATCAATGATTAGAGAGAATCATTGATCAGCAGCCTCCTACACGCCCTCTACTGGGACTTGAACCCAGGATGCTTCAGCCCGCAGGCGGAAGCTCTATCCACTGAGCCAAACTGGCTAGGGCTCAAATTTTAACCAGCACAGGTTTCACTCACGCAAGCCTTTTTGGTTGTGAGTCCGGGTTTGGGCTTCCCAGCACTTTGTGCATTCGCCTATTTTTAAGTTTCCGTTTTCCAAAGGCCAACTTTGTGACTTCTGTTTTACATCCTCTCTTATTTAATCTGCCTAACCACTCTGAGTTTAAGTACTAACTTCACGTTACAGACAGGGATCCCGAATCTCCATGAGGGGAAGTTCTGGCACCAAAGACTGGCACACGGTCCAGAGCAGAGATTCGAACCCTGGGTCCTCTGGGCTGCCCGCCGCCAGCCTCAGTGAGGAAGCCGCGAGGCTCCCGGCTGTACGAGGGACCCTGACATCCTAGGGAAATGGGGTTTATGGAGCCCTCACTTCTCCGGACTGGCCTTTTCAGAGCAATGGCGGTCTTTTAGTGAAAACCAACGCCAGGTCGCAGCCCACAGGGACCCACTTCTTCTACCGCAAATGTGGCTGCGACAGGGCAGTTGTGAGACCTCTCCAGAGGAGCGGCGGGGCGACTGGGCTGGGGAGCCACCTCTTCCCCATCCCGACCCGGGAAGCTCAGCGGGAGGTCCGGTGGGGACGCCCGAAGCCCGGCCAAGGCCAGGCCGCTCCGGTCTCCCAACCCGCAGCCCGGCCCGGCCGCCCCCACACGAACGGACGGACGGACGGACGGACGGAGGCAGCCCCAGCCCGCCGGCCGGGGAGCCACGCCGAGGGCCTCCTGGGCTGAGGAAGCCAGCGCGCCCCGCCCCAGGTCCCCCCCAACCCCAGCCGGCCCTAACGAGGCTGCGGGGTCCGGGGAAGAGGAAGGCGAGGCGAACGGAGCCCCAAAACGTCGCCGCCCACTCACCTCAGAACTGCGTTTACTCTGGCAACGGCCGGTCCCACGCCTGGGAAACGCGACTTCCGGGAAGAAGTCGGTGACGCTGTGTCTTTATTGGCTGAAAGAGCTGTTCTTTAGCCGAGACTTGTCCCGCCTCACACCGCTGGCTCGCTATTGCGCCTGCGCATACATTTTCTCTCCTCGCCCTCCTTTCCCCCGTCTTTCCGGCCTGCCCCCCTCCATCTTTCTGCAATTCGGTGGCATGGTCGCCAGGGGGCGTTAAAGTAAGATAGTACCTCTACTTTCTGCCCCTAAAAAGTAGCAGCTAGTAGCTTTAGTGGTTTGTTTGTTTGTTTTAATGCTTAAAATGAAACA